TTGCTGATGTGATGCAATTGTTAATTGTTGCCCAAAAATAAAATCCTACCTTCTTTCTATTACGAGACAATTGCTATTAGACATGTGTATACCATGAAGACAATGGAGATAGTATAGTGGTGGTGTTCAGACGTGAGGCTATGAGAGGAAAAATGCATTGTGATATCCTGTTCATTTCTATTTCAATTTGACATGTAATAGTATATACGATTATTTGTTTCATGGTATACATTATAATCTTCTTAATCACATTCACATGATTGTTGTTATCAAGAATATTATTTTTCAGTATATTAAAATATATGTTGTTGACATTGATATTTTTTTAATATCATTGTTGATATCCATGAGAATTACTTAAAATCATGTTAATAATGTATTTTTTCTTTTGGAAATATGTGGCTTAATTATCAAAATATCTATATTCCAAAAGTATTACTCTATTTATCATTATAGTTATATAGTTGAGGAAGCAACATTAACCTTTTTTATGTGATATTGTTGAGTTTGGGTTCCCTTCCTATGTGAAGAAAGACTCAATTGGTCAAAACTCACTTGTCTCAATTAACCTAGTGGGGACGGGTGAGATGAGGCAAAAGTGTGCAATTAGATTAATCAAAATGAGACAATAAAAAGGTGATACGGAAAAGAAGCTAACTAAACCTAGAGGAACTCATACCAGTTGTGGGAAATTCATGACTACGCTTTCGTTCACCTTTGGATTGGGCTTAAATTTGGACATCGAGTTCAAAGCTTTTGGTACTTCATTCTGAACGGTTTAATCAGTGAGAAGTCATCAGAGTTGGGAGAAAACGAGCTATTACAATGGTTGTTTTTTCTGGTTTTTGCTGCTACTTGTTGTTTTCATTTTCAAGCTTATTGCTCTATTGTATGTCTTATCGTAAAGCACGACTTGTGCTGTATTTTGAGATACTCTTCTATTCATATTTTGATCATTGTGGAGCCTAACTGATAGGCTATTACAATGACTGCTTTTTTTGGTCTTTGTGCTACTTGTTGTTTTCATTTTCAAGCTTGTTGCTCTGTTTTATGCCTTATTGTTGAACACGACTTGTGCTGTATTTTGAGATACTCTTGTATTCATATTTTGGTATCCCTTGTAGATCTTAGTTGTTGTAATTATTTATTATTATTCCTCATAGATTGTAGCAAGTTTTGGGAATTATTATCCGTTACATATAACTAAGATAACAAATTTACACTAAACTATACTCTAATACATCACGAGAACCAATAAATTGTTATTTGATTATTTATCTATTAAGTATTTATATAGTAAATGTTTTTAATTACTTTTACTAACATCAAGGGTAGAAAGAATCAAATGAATTAGAAGAATGAAGATAATATCTATATAAATTCAAGAATAGCATTCATAAAACACATAACATTATTAGCATAAATAAAATATATTTTTTACCGCTTCAAACACACTATCTATATATTATTCATAACCGCTATTCCCATTAATATTATTTTATAAACTAAAAACAAACAATGTCCTAAGTAAACATGATGACACTCTGCTCCATAATGTGATTGGTTTCATTTTCAAATTATTATTTTTGAAAAGTGGACTTGGGTTTTATACACATATCACGGAGTAGCAAATTTCAGCCCTTTAAATGGGTTGCCTTTATACCGTCCTAATCGATCCTTGGAGGGAGAATCTTTCCAAATCAACACAAACAAAGATGCGTTTAATTTAATTAAATTCACCCCATTGATTTTTCTGTCTATTCATTAGATTATATTCAACCGTCCAGATAGAAAAATCAAAGCCACGTAGCAATTTGATTTTTATCTTTACAAAGTTTGAAAATTCAAAAATTCGAAGGGTGAGGAGCATATTGGACCTACATCTATGCAGCATTCCTTTTCATACCGATAAGTGACAATAGAAAATCAATTTGTTTTTTAACGACTTGATTATTTTTCATTGGAGACAAAAAAACATTACGCAGTAATGAACATAAAAGATTTATATGTGCATCTGAGATTTTGTCTCCTACTTTTTCTACCCAGGAAGCGTCAATTTTGAGTCTTCATGAAACATTATTGTTTAAACACCCTTAACAGTTAAAAACATTTTTTTGCTACTTAGGGTATCTCAGATTTTCGGAGTTCATGACTACCCGAAAAAAGAATTTGATATTCATGTAACCAAAGCATATTTATGTGCTTCCGTCATTTAAGTTTAAACTACATATTGTTTATTGGATTTAGTGTATTAATAAGGGTTCTTTATAATAAAATATATAGTGATGATATATTTCCTTACAAATTTTTCTTAAAAATTTTCTTTACCATAAGGAAATAATAAATGACACTTATAAATTAATCGTTCATACAAATATTATCATCTTATAATATATTAATATAAGGTTCCAATATCCTAGGTTGATGCATATAAGACATGATATATAGTTACTTTACCAACAAAATATTGATCTATTAGTATAAGACATCGCTAGATTCCTAAGATTATTAAATAGTTAAGAGTTCGATTTATGGAAGCGATACTTATTGGAAGGTACAGTCACACACCCTGAAAGATTGTTCCTTACCCAAAATGTTAGAGGATACTCTTGGTAGTACAAAATATATATAATACGTTTCTTATAATATTTATGAGTATTTTTCTTAAAATCATATAATTTTCTAATAATAAATATAAAAAAGAAAACTAAGTCATGCCAAGCATAAATTATATTCAATGTAGGGACAGAGGTTACCCCTCAATTAAATGTTGCTTTGGATACATATCAACAAACACCATAACCTAATCAAACGTGGAAGTCATGCACCCATCCACCAACCAATTGTTAGACCCTTCAATTCAATAAAATGTTAGTTTCAAGAGTTGAAGTGTACTGTTATCCCTTAAATTATATTAACATAAAATTATATAATTTTATCCGCAATTTTTTAAACCTACATAAATCACATCTAATTATATATATACATTAAGTTAATTATCCATGTAGAAGATATAATTATAAATATAATTATAAATATAATTTTTTAAGGCTACAAGTTAACTTCATTTTTTGTTTACTAAATGTCTTTAATACCTTTTTGAGTCACTCAAAAAGTTATAAGGTAATTAAAAAGTTATTTTAAAGGTTTTCATAAGTAATGCTTGTATTGGTCACCAATTTTGTTGATGCAAACTCTAATCTCTTCTGGAAAAACAAGCACATATTTGATATTTATGGAGAAGAATTAATCACATAGCCATTACCATATTATAGGAGTTGAATTTAATTTGATTAGATTACCACTATCCCCAAATAAAAACAAAGCACTCAAGGGTCATCAGGAGCATGTGATAAGAATACCATTTGTTCATGGTGAATACCATAAGAACTCATGAAAGAATGTAAAAGAAACACACGTGTGGTCCTAGTTACACTCAATTTTAAATTGTCCCATAGTTACTAGTAGGGGTTTTATACTCTTTCCATAAACTCTATATGCGATAAGTAGATAAATGAAAAAAAAAATATATAGCTATAATTTGTTCTTATATTCCGGTAATGGGAGTGTACCAATTATTCCAAGGTTAGAAAAATATCTTCAACAAAGGAAAAGCATCTCATTTTCTCATCAAGAAACTATTAAAAAAAGTAATTACAATTGGTAGAAGAAACATTCTTTACTCTTCTTCATACCCTCTCTATCATCCCATAACAAGGATTTAAAAAAAAGCGAATAAAATGGAAGCTAAAAACTAAGATTTTACATAACCAAATTAATCATTAAAAAAGGCCAAGATTTTAAGAGTCGGGAACTTTATGAGAATCATCAGAAGCCAAAGCAATTAAGACTCTTTTCTACACTACCCACCCCGGAAAATGGAGAAAGGAAAACAAGGAGACTGAAAAGAGTGAAACATTGTGAGTGTTTCACGAGAAAAATAGTGGAGGAAGACTAACTATAAGAGAGAAGTAGCTCAAATACTCTAGCAAAAGCTAGAAGCTAGCTCATTTTAAAGCTAGAAGCTCTCTTTAATTTTTTTTATTGACAGAATGATTCTAATAGCTTATTGATTGAGTTAAAAAGTTACAAACTATCTGGAAAGTTATAAGTTTGTATTTCCGAATAGTACCCTAGCATGTCCATACCACCACAACATGTTAATGTAGAGATAGGGCAATTTGATTCTTTTCCTTTATACCTTAAACTTTATGACATAAGTTGCACCTTAGATTGCAAATAGGCATTTCAATTTAACAATAAGGAGTTAACAATTTTTTTATTAGCATGTAAGCCTACTTTAATAGGAAGAGAAAGAAAATTAAATCTTAGTTAAAGTCGTCTCTTGTTACCACTGGAATGTGTCAAAAGGGTCTGATTCTGTTATACCCCACGTATGCGCTATGCTTCATAAGAGGGTATACCTAAATAATGAATAATGATACACTCCATTAATAAAATTGAGAGTATATTTAATTTTCCTTATATTTTTAATGACAAAAATATTATTCTAATGTATAAAAGGATAATAATATCTTACATATTATTTTTCCTTTATTTTTATAGTAATTATATCTCTATTAATGGAGATGATATTACTCCTCAATAATGGTCAACCTGTGCATGGAAAGACTTGGAAGTCCACAATTCTCTACAAATAATACAAAATTTTAAGAAGTTTTTTGGAGACATAATTTTATTTCCACACACCACTTATTCGTGAAAAAGTTAGCTGTGACCATAAAAGTTGTATGGGAATTCAACAAACATGCCCCACCACTCTCTCTCTCTCTCTCTCTCTCAAACATACTTCATATCATGCATGGGAAAACACAATACAAAGCCAGAGATTCAACTTTATGCTTTTCAAAAGGTCAAAAAGACCGATTTTCAAAAAGCAATTCTTTTTGAGACAGCATTCACATTTTCACTCAGAAGTCAGAACTATAGGCCTAAATAATAGTACTATTTTATTATAGTATCTGACTCTGATAATGGCCAATTAATATAGTCCTTAACTTCGATAATTGGCAATTAATTTTAGTCCTTAACCTCGATAACTCGCAATCCATTTAATCTCTCACAATGTTAAGTTCTCAATTTGATCCATTTGGACATTTCGATCAATTTGAACCCTTTCTTTTATAAACCAATTGCACTGTTAAAAGAAAGAATATATGATTACCAACAGGTTTAAAAGCTGAGAAAAGAAAAACGAAACCATAAAAAAGAAACTAGTTTTTCCAAGCTATTCTATTAAATATTAATACATATAATAGCACAAAATTAGAAATCAGTTGGAAAATTCATTCAAAGGAGCTTAATCTAACTGTTTCAACTGCAGTCATAGCAAACGAATCTTCTCGAGGCTGACCGTTGAAAATCCTTTAATCTCTTTCTTCACATGTCAGATAAACCAAGGAAGCCAAGTACTTTCAAATTAAAGTGGTGACATTTAGTTTTTCAGATTTTTTACTTGTGCTCCCCATTTTATTATATTTGACTTGCTTTTACTAATGTAAGGGATTTAATTCAATAAATCTGTGTTTTCAATGGGAGTATATAGTGTGTCTCATGTGTCACTTCATTTGTAATGAATCGTGGCTAATTAGAAAAATATTTTATAATTAAACTTTTAACTCAAATAATTTTTCAACCAATTACAACTAAGAACTTCAATTAGATGTTTTACTCTAGTATTATCTTACAACAGGTATCATAATTTTTTTAAAAAGCAAAATAGAAGTTTGTTAAAAGGACCAAGGGGATTATAAACATATCTGACAATGCAAGTGAGAAAAACCACCTAATAAGAAAGCAAGGCAAAAATCATAAAGGTTAAATGAAGGAATTATCATAACAATTCCTTTCTAAATCAATCATTGATATTGAAAAGCTTACTTGGTAGCACTTCAATGATACTTGCAACTTGCAAGCATTGCTCAGGTGCTTAATCAATCACCTAAAAAAAGTTTTCCCTTCTAACAAAGCATTGAACAATTATTACCTACCTATATTCAAGATAATTCCAATAGCTCAATAGATATTGAAACTTAAATACAAGAAATTGAAGCATATGAAATATTGATTAATGTGTGGCAGTGTCAGACATTAGGGTTTCAGTAATCAAATGAGCTGTTAAAGGCAAGATAAAATGTATTTACGGAAAAAATAAATACATAATTCTGCAAATCCAACATGAATACACATACTTCTCAAAATTGATACTATTCTTATGTCATATACATTCAGATCTATATACTATAATTAATAAATGGTATGGAAATGTAGATGGTCAAGGTAACCAGAGAAAAGTACGGATCCTTGTCAATTAGCACAGAACCTATACAGGGAAACAAAATGTTAACTATAATATGCTAATAAGAAAACCAAATGTTAAATATAAATTTACCATATGATAGATTCTTCAAATCTAATGGAATGACGGTAGTTATAAAGAATAAGAAAACTTCCCTAATTCTTTCTGGCACTAATGAAATGACTAATTAAAGGGTTTCATCTTCATTGACTAAAATTAGACCTCGGTTTTATCACACAGTTGACAATTGTGAAATGCCTAATTAAAGGGTCTTATCAACATGTTTTTTCATCTGGATATAAATTAAATAGATATTGAGATTAGAGAGAAAAATATAGGCCAAGAAACCCTAGAGATACAGATAGAGAAATAAGTACATAGAGAAAGGGAAGGGGGAAAAGGAGTTAAAGGAGAAGAGAATTTTTAACTGAGTTCAAAAGTAGACCAGATCTGAGGAAATATGGCAGAAACAGACAGATCGGATAGTTGAAATAACATGGTTGGAATGGATCTGGCTAATGAAGAACAAGTTAAAAGGTAAATATATCTGACAACTAAAACACCATCATAACTTAATAAGAGAAAGAAGGAAGAGAATGAAAAGGAAGTAATGATGAAAACCTTTTGCGCTAGTGAAAATTGGTCAACATGGTTCATCATTACACCAATCTGCATAACTACTACCCACATGTGTAGCCGATCTAAAAAACAAAACCACACTGTTCAGATCTACCTATAATTAAGAAGAAAAAACAAAACTTTAATGAGCAAATTAATTTTTATAAAAAAAAACTGGAAGTAATAATATAGGAGTAGAGGAACCAAACCTATAAAAAGTTGTTCATGGAGAGAAGCTATGTTGATATTTATGTGAAAGCATATAATTGGGGGGAATGAAGCCTGGTCCGACAACACTATGACATCATTGATCACAAATATTGATCAAGATGAAAGGGTCCTCGAGCCAGACAACATTCCTCTCAATAAACAAAGCTTCCTATGTGGAAAAAATAGTTTGGTTTTATTGAGTGGCAGAGACTGTAGTGTGTTTCAGCTCTTAACCCCCCATGAGTCTCGCCTATAATAAAGGGGTGTGGTCATGTGTGAGAAAGAGAGGGAGAAAATATGAGTATTGTGATGATAATGAGTGGGTGAATGAGAAGAATGGGGGAATATAACATGAGAAAGTGGGGGAAAGGTAACGTTAAAAAAGACAAAAGGATTGGTTCAAGGGTAGACCCTAGCAGCTTTTGGTTCTTATTTCCAGAAATGACCATGACCCTATGCACCCTCCAAGGTACATAGAGATAGAGCCATAGAGCTGAGTTGTGTTTGAATGTAATTGCTGATGAAGTCATTGATATGCACCGTTGGATTTGGTAGTATGTGGGGTTGATGTTATGTCTTCATACACCACTACGGTCATTCACTGTACCTATGTTCTGTATTATTTTGGTTAGTATGGGTTCTAATTTGTTTACATTATTTTTTGGGCATTCTAATTGGTGTCCCAAAGGCACAATTAAGGATTCAATATAAATGTAATTTTTGAAATATAAATAGACTTATTTTTTGCATTAAAAACAAAGATAAAACATACATTTATATCTGTATTAATGAGATGATATTAGTTCTTCATTTTGATAAGAGATAAGTTTTGTTGATTTGGGGGAAAATGATGTACTTTTTTCAAATAGTTTTTCCATACTAACCCTAAACTTCTCCTATTCAGTTGTTGATAACTTGTTTTATTTGAATATTTAATTAAAAAACTATTTTCCACTTCAAAAAGTAAAAATAATTTCTAATTGCATTTTTAAAATATTATCCAAATGTGTGTATGTTTGAAAAGTGGGTTATTTTATGATAAACACATGTTTTTTTATAAATTGAAGATAATATAAAACATCGTTAAGAGCCATCACTTCTGTCCTCAATTCCTCATTGTATTTAAAGCTCTAATCCCAACTCATCAAAACTGGAATTTATAAAAAAAAATAAAAAATAATAAAGTTTAACCAATATCATAAAAACAAGGGTTAAACACAATTTAGAAAATTGTGTATTCAACGCTTTCAAATTTCAAAAACAAAAAAAAATGACGTGTTTTTCAGTATACAATTATGTTTTTAACCTTTGGGACACTCAATATTTGACCACCCGAAAAATAATAATGTTATGTCGCATAGTAATTATTTTATTTTGTTAACTTTGACCTAGGTGTCAGAACTTAAAACACACGTTTAGTTGGGCAACAGTAGATTTAAAGAACAAAAAGTGGAATATATATATATATATATATATATATATATATATATATATATATATATATATATATATATATATATATATTACAACAGTAGATTTTAAGGTAGTAACGAACAATTAAAGATGCAATTAACATGTATAAATTTGTATTTAATTTATGTTATATGATATATTTAACTGCTTTTTCATTGATTAATTATAGATAGAGTTGTAGAAAAATAGTGACTAATATCATTTTAATTTTCTAGAGAGAAAATAAATAACAGCAATTTCAATTTACAAAAAAAAATAACAACAATTTCAATTTACTAAAATAGAGTTAAAAAGGAAGAAGATGTTCCTTAATTTCACATTATATAATGAAGGGTATTTCCGTAAATAAGGAACTAATCTCGTTCGACTATGTGATTGTTCACTCCAACAACTATTGATATTCGTGAATTGAACTTTTAATCTAATTTCATACTTGAGAATATAGTAAAATCTTATATATAAAAATTTGTCGGTAATTGTCCTAATTTAATTTCAATTATAATAATTATAAAAAAACTCAACTGTATTTTGTGACAAAGAGTTACTCTTGTTTGAAAGATAATCATGGACCAAAAAAAAGTTATTTCCTTACTTTAAATCAGGTATGTGATCGTTTATACAAAAAAAACCAGAAATCCTACCCAAAAAAATGACACCGGACATTTGATTTTGTGTGATTCAGCATGCTTTGGCCATGGTGTCATGGAGTGATGTAACTATATACATAGACTCAGCTCATGTACATGATAGCTTAGCATTCAATGTTTCAGAAAAGGTAGGGTCATCCATTGAAATTGTTTTCCGTAGTGCAGGAGAAATTAGAGTTTAAAAAACACCGTCCGGTTAAATTTTTGTAAAGATTTATTTATAAAAAGAAAATGTATATGTTTATAGTCTATGAATTTTATAGACTGTCGTTTCATTATGTATATACAAAGATAATATATTGACTACATATAGATATAAATTTTTATGTTAATAATATATAGATATTACACTCATATTTATAATCAAAGTTTTTTACCATATACTAAAACACCCTAAAATTATATAAGAATCTTGTAATTCAAAAATAAGGAACAAACATCTACCGTTGTAAATCATATCACATCCAAATAAAAACATGTAATATCAATTAAAAAAATTAAATATACTTATTATTATTATTTTATATCATTGTTATTAGTATGGAACATGAGTTACATGGTATGAGAGAAATATCAAGATTATACCAGAACAACATTCTTGGTAGAGAGACAGTATAAAAATAAACATAATGATGATTAAATTATTGAGAGGAAATGGGAATCAAAAGTTTACCAATCTATATACTATATAATAAATAAAGTCTTTATTGCCACATTTCATCATCATTTCTTTTCTCTCCTAAAGTGTTATATACTATTACTATGTACCTTCTCACATTACATCCTCACTTTTTCTACATTTTATATTTTAACAATTTAAATGTTAATTAATGTTTGGTCTTTATGACTTGTTTTGTGAAAAAGTATTAACTATTGAACATTAGAGGATATTGGAATCTCTTTTCACATTCAACCTATTTTTTCTTTATGTTTCTCATTTTCTTTTATTTCTATCTTTACCCATTCATTTATCTCCTACCTCTTCATTTCTCTCATACTGTTATGTTTCGTTCGCAGAATTTACTTTCACAAAATATATGTTTTTCTCTTTCTCTTCAAACAACATTTCTCTTCAACAATCTTTCCCTTCCAACTACCTTTTTCACTTTTTTATTAGTGTTCTTAGTGATTTCATTATTTTTTAGATCTGTTCTTCCAACAATTCTCTCTTTTAGCGTCTGATAAGCAAAGGTATCATCCTAAAGAATGACCAAATTTTCAAAACATGTGGTATATACTCAATATCATTATATATATATATATATACATTCAGTTGCAATATTCCATTTGTTTGTTTTTATTATTGATATATTTATTTCGTTCTTAACATTTTTCTCTCTTCATTTGTAGTTTGGTTCTCCATTCTAGCATCTCTACATTTTAGTTTTATCTCTTTTAATCTCTTATTTTATTTATACAATTTTTATACATAAAATCACTAATTAAATTTTTTGTTTTGCATGTTTTAGAAACAACTGAAGTATATTCTACTAAAAAATAAGGTAAGAATTATGGTTAGTTATTTACGATTTTGTATTTTATTTTTTTATTCAATGATTTAAAAAATCTATTGTTTAAAATATATATTTGTTGCTTATGTTACCGCTCTCATTTGGGTCAATTGAGAATTGTAGAACCAATGGATTCAATGATCTTCTCTATTCTTTGACATTTTGGTTATCTTTGACAATTTTTTGGATCATTTTGTATGATATAATTAAAAATAATAATATGTCATAAATTCTAATTTTTTTTTTCTTTTCTTTTTACATCTACATGTACTAAAATGGTTATAGCAAATGTGTAGTCAAATGCTAATGAAGTATTTAGTTAACTAATTAAACAAATTTCTCCATTTTTATGCATAAATGTAACAAAAATAAAGATATTTCGTTTTCACATATAATTTCCTTATATTATTACAATAACTCATAATTCTTAACATTGGTGAATGAATATCACATTAGAGACAACCTTTATTTTGAAAAATTAAGGCCTAAATAATGGTAAATAACAATGTTATTAAAACCGTACTGGTTATCAAACCGGTCCGAGTCCTGATATAGTGGTACACTGAACCAGTGATACAATAATTAAATCGCATGCCGGTTAAACTGTAAATACATGCTTATATTTACATATATGTAAACCTATAACAAAAAAAAAATCAAATATGTAGATATTAATATCAAATTTATAATCTACTCCAAATTCACACAAACAAATAACATTAAGTTTTTAATAAAATCAAAGTATAAAGCAATGTTATTAATATCATCAAACTGGTTATTAGTATTATTAATTGTATTGTAGACCTAACACTTAAAAAAAATTAGTGAAAGGGCAAATAAAATTCCTATATTTTTTCCTACAATTGAAAAATCTCAAGTAAAACTGAAGTTATGAATTTCTTTTTGGGCAGTGCACCATGTTGTCTCTCCTATAAAAAATTTATGACTTCTCTAGACCCAAGTTCCATGACTTCTCTAAACCTAGGTTCTATGACTTTTGTAGACCACTACACCTATTTTTTCTTGGTAATATAATTTATGCATAAAGCATAAACTAATAAAAGCCATATAAGCACACAGGACACACTACACAGGATAATGAACAACAAAAAATGAACTGGGAATGGGTTTTCTGGTTCTTCTGGAGGATGCGGAGGTGCCACAGTCACAAGCTGGAGAAAACTCAAAATTTCTCTCATTCTTCTAGAACATCGTTTTCTCGTTCACAGTGGAGAAAGCAGATGGAGAAGATACATGACATGTCAATACCTCCTTTTCTAGTTCATAGTTCTCCAGCTTTGAAGTGGATGAAGATGATGAAGAAACATAAATGTCGTTTTTTTTTAGTAAAGTGCAACTGAATTATGAAATGAAAGGTTAGGGATTTCACATCTTCTTAGAGTCATACACTAGGGATTTCTTTTTCACATTTCAGAATAAATGATATAACAATGTTGTTTCTTCACTTACCTTCTTCTCATAACAGTGATCGACCGTTTGAAAAATAATTGATCGGTTTGCCGATTTTGATGAAAATCGGCAGGTTTACACAAGTTTACCCCGACTTATTGCACGACCGGTCTCAATGGCATACCGTGTCAGTAAGGAGTCTGGTTCTCCTGTTGCACGGACGACACGATACACTAATAAAAAATGTGCGATATCAATTACACTGATAAATAATGT